TGATTGTAGACTTAAAATTCACGAAAGGGTCTATATTACTTATGCCAGGTTACCTTCTTTTTTAATGTGTGGTTCTTTCATCTTCAGTCTAGTAGGCTAGTTTTCGTTGTATGGTCAGTGGGTGACCGTGTCGTTGACTGGTTGATAATTTAGCGAACAATGGATGGCAAAACGTTAAACCCACACAAATGTTTCTTCAAGTTCCCAAAATACCATACAGTAATGCATATTTAACATATTGATCAGAAGTAGCGTTTATAATCAAAATAACAATAACAAATCGGTAACGTAACTTACGAGGAATTTTGGAAAAAATAATAAAACGCATTTTTAACAGCTTCATATAAAGTTTTTCGAAACAATATTAGGTGTACACAACATTCGAGCAGTATGGCGACAAGATCTGAACTTTGACCTACTCCAACAAAGAAGCAGCATTCAGGCGGAAAGGATCAACACAACAAACACTGGTCTTATTATGTATGGTTCAACTATTCCGCGGAGTTCTATGGGGGAATGTCGGTATAATTACAATTACAAAAGTTGTAATTAACAATAATAAGCAAACAGCATGTTTACCATTTTTAATCATCCAACGCGTAATTTTAGTTGGTGGCGACCGAAGGCTCGGTCAAATGCGAACTCAGTTTGCCAGTGGTTGAAGTTGGCCTGGTCTGAAGAGAAGTCTGAGAGAAGGTGTTCTGAATTTACTGCTGTGTTAGTCTTTGCGTTGGTATTTTAGTCTTTCTTGACTGAATACATTTGGTGTCTTCATTAAATTTGCTATTTTCAGACATGATTTTTATCGACACTGAAGCTATATGGTTCCTCCCACAGACTTGCATAACACAAACGAGCGACGCCAAATGACATCTCAGATAAAAGTCGACAAAAGCAGAATATATATTTTATCGTATCACGCCATCGAAGCTAACACCAATCGATAATATGTTTATTAAACTCTCACCAAAACCAAAACCGTAACAAAACCATTAGTTTGATGTTCTTTTCCCGGGATGTAGTCACGTTGCTCCGAACCACACATAACTCCGATGACAGCCATATTCTCCAGGTCAAACGAGGACAAGATGATGTCATTAGAGAAGGTATTCCCTAATAACTTGTTGGGTACTCCCGTAAAGACAACTACGTCGTCGTCTACTTCAGGTGCATGCGTATACTGCCCACAGTTTTTTTTTTTTAGAGAAATGTACAAATAAATGTTATTTCATATATGTAGGATGCAGGGAAAATAGACAACAACAGTAAATACTACGAAGTCCACAGCAAAATACTAATAGTAGCAGACGACCATTTCATGGCGTTTTAAAAACTGGTTTTAGCCTTTCCACTTTCCAAGTTCTAATACAGTGACGTCGTTTAGCCATGGAAGGTACTAACGTTAATACCTTCCATGGTTTAGCCAAGCAACTTTGTCCTCGATCGACCAAAAGAAAATGTCACTAGAGTTAGGTACGTTTTGGCGAACTAAATCCCGGGAAAAACAACTTCAAACGATTTTTTAATAAACATACTATGATTGGTGTTGCTGAT